AAAAAAAAAAAAAAAAAAAAAAAAAAAAGCAAAATCTCAGCGAAAAGACTTTTGTCGTTGTCAGTAGTCGGACGCATGATAACGGGAAAAAAAAAAGAGTCATTACGCCGGGAAAACGTTTTAACTCTGAGATGGTTTCATCCGACGGAGGGAGACCTCCGTCTTCCCACTCTCAACACGGACAACACTTGCACGCACGTCCTCGCGCGCACAACCTGACGGCATCGTTGGCCGGTCGACCAACGAACGCACTACTATCGCGCGGTAAAACAAATCACTGCACCTTTTTTTTTCTTTTTTTTTCTTTTTTCTTTTTTTTAAGATCAGTTAGAACTTCAACTCGGCAGCAAATGCCTTAAGAACCCGAAAGCCGACTGATTCCGATCGCGTCACGTGTGTGATAGACCATATCGGAAGTGCCTCAACCACTCTACAGAATCGAATCCACTCTGGATCACAAAAAAAAAGAGTGCTCATCTCTCCACTCCCCGCTGAACGCAGAGTAAAAAAGGTGTCGCGGCGAGATCAATTCCTTAGTCAACCTAAGTACGAACAGTACGACCGTTTATTTCCATGGAGTTAGCTGATTCATTACATTGGGCAAGCATCAACGACCAACAATAGGCGATATAACTGCTCGCCATTACAGAACATAGAGCAAGTGGTTTGCCCTAATGCCTCCTCCCGCACCTACCTTGCCACACCACTCTCGAAATGTGCAAAAGACAAAACGTGGCGGGTGCATCTGGTCATGTTCTAGAGGGATGTTCATTCTCATTTTTCACATTTCGAGAGACTGGTGTTGCGATGCCCTCAAACTGACATTTGCCGGACAGTCTAGACAGCTCCTACGTGCAGAGGGCAACGATTACAGCAACGAAATCAAAAACCCTCTGATGTCTATTCCATGGAGATTGCACAGAAGGACGGTCACCTAGGTAACACAAGAGGTCTAAAAGAAACCTTTCTAAATTTTAGTCCTCGGGTATTTTCAACGCACAAACAAATCGCCAACCGATCTCATCACCTTGCATGATTTCCACGGGACAACACGCTTTCCTCAAGACGAGAAGCTGGAAATCGCTCACGCAAGCGTTGTCAGCCCAAGGCCCCACGAGAACCCGCTTCCCATTCTCTATCCATCGCGACACGGAGAGCGAAGGAACCATGCAAAGGAGAGAGCAACGCCACCTCCTCTACACCATGAGGGAGGCCATGGACACCAAGGAAACATTACAGGATTAAGAGCAATACTACCTTTCAACCTACCTATCGAGCAACAGAAAATGCCAGACGAAAGGTGCAGAAAATGCCAGACGAAAGGCACCTGACATCTGCTTTGCCACTTCCTATGCTTCGCTGCCAGTACCGTCTTCCCCCGAACATAACGCACCCTCATGACGGCGATAATGCCTGTAACGATCCCTCGTGGGAAGAAGGTTGTGCTCTCCTCCGCCCATCGCCCCTCCGCCCACCTCCTCTCCTCTCATCGCCTCCTCTACTCTCATCGCCTCCGCTCCCCTCGCCTCCGCGTGGTAACCGGATTCCGGCTACGTATCACCGTCGCTCGTCGAAATCGAGAGACAAAACACCTGGCCAACGGAAGAGGTCATCACAATGTACGCGCTATCATCCCCCAAGTAGATCGTACGGTAATAATCCCTGCATTTGGGGGAAACATTCAGTCTAAATACGGCGATAATGCCTGTAACGATCTATTTTGGGGGGGGCGGAAGACGGGCAGAACATCTTCATACCATCCTCGAAAAGTGGCCGCGTTCACAGCGGCAACGAGTAGGCCGCAACCACTGACTCTATCACGACTGCTGTTCGATTAGAAACGCCCTCTCATGGACATGCACAACCGCTCATCCCCAAGTTCATTCATAACTACTTCACATCGCGCGAAGTCCATAAAAATACCCCTCGTCGTTCACGCAGATGTGAGCACTCACCAACTCCTGCGTGACGTGTTAGCCGAGGGTTGGGTTCATTAGCTCCTTCAACACTCACCACCACTGTGGTTGGGCAATGCGCCTTCACACTCGATCAACGTCACGGGTATTATATACAGTAATTATAGAAGTCACGGCTAACTCCTTGCACAAGATACGGATCGTAAAGGCGAATATAGACGGCCCGACGATCGTCGTCAAGGAAAGCATCACTGAAGAGTTAGGTCCTCATCCTACTCGGTAGGTTACCGTTTTCACACTTGACTGGTCCACGTTTTCACACTTGATTGGTCCACTGATCGACTGCGCACGAGTGAAGTCACTGCAGAACGAAAAGCAATCGGCATTGTCCGATCCCGACTAAACACTATGCGCTTCCTTGACATCGAAGACCATGCACCGATCATCTGCCTACACTTCATAACAGATTAAGAGATTTTCAACACCGTCACCCTCCTATCAGCCATTCCATAAACTATCTGTTAGCGGTTGATCTTTCGGCTCGCCCCGCCCCTCATCGAAAGCTTAAGCGATCAGCTCTCATCAAAGCGCCAAATTCGCGTGACTCTCATCAGCGCAACCTAACAACCAACTATCTGTTACCTATTCATCCTTCGCCCCGCCCGAACATGTGCACCAAAGGACCACCAGTATATCGAGCGCCCATCGATCGGTCAACTACCATACTTCTACGTTCCCAGGACTCCGCAAAGGGGCACTTGTGTCCCTCGTATTCAAACGCTCACCGAGCCGCAAAGGGGGGCACACTTGTGTCCCTCGTATCCAAACGCTCACCGAGAAGGAGAAAGCAGCCGAAGCCGGAACCTACGGACGGGTAAGCTGAGGTCTGCTGCTGCTGAGAGGCGCAACCATCCGCGGGCGACGGACGCGAACGACGAAGGATAACGACGGACCAAAAAAGAGAAAACTAAAAGAAGCAGCACTTTCAGCTCGGGCGAGTATACAAGGCCAGATATACTTATTATTACTATTACAGTAATAATAACTAGAGCAAGGGCCTCGCTCAACCACTCTCGACATGCCAGATATAACTAGAGAGAGCAGGGGCCTCGCTCAACTACTCTCGACATGCACAAAAGACAAGGATCATGGCGGTGTATTTTTCCATGTTCTAGCGGACGATTCATTCTCGTTTCGCACATTTCGAGAGTAGTGGAGCTAGGCCCCAAGTACGCGGAAAAGAACGAAGAAGAGAAAGAAGCAAGCAAGAAGAATACATACCACAGGCCGTCCGTCAATCGGTCCACGCACGGGCAGGCCATCCGTCAATCCGTCGACGCACGGGGAGCAAAATCAAACTCAAAGATACAACTACCTTCTAAAAGCGCTAAAGAAATCGGTCAAATTCGTTACAGGCGTGGACCGATTAGAACATGGAGGGAGAGAGGCGGCCTACTCTTGCAGAAAAACAAAGAGAACAGTGGTGGAGGAAAAAAGACTCAGCGCGGCCTCGTCTAGCAGAAAAAGAGAGAGGCGACAGTAGATGAGAGAAAGACAAAATGGATATTCATTCACGGCGAAGTCCACGCTTTTACAGTACGAGCGGGAAAAGGGACGCCCATGCTTTCCTTCCCCTGCAGTTCCCATTTCTTCTGCTGCTCCCTGCATTCTCCCTAAAATAGATTTCTTATAAACAAGCCACCGCCAACTACTAAAGGAAAGAAAGTCCCGCGCAGCACAGACAAAAATGCGCATGTGCACGAGTCACACCTGGGCCCCACACCCATCAACTCCGCACATTTCCCACTCAGTTCCCATCCCTCAACACCTTAATACACACCACTAATACATACAACCCCCATCACCTTCCGCCCTCTCCATGACGTCAATCCTGACGACTATCTCTGGCGAGACGGGCGCAGCCGACAATCTGCATCCCCCACAGTCCGCCTCTTGTTCTAACGTCTCAGAAACGACCTTCCGATCGCATCCCCGGCCTCACAACCGAGCTTCTTTCCTCATTAACGTCATAGCTTGCTTCTGACGACCTCCTGACTGACGACTCCCTCCCAGTAAACCCCGCCTTCGCCACATCGATTGATACATACGGCACCGCCGCCGTCGCAAATCCTCGGGCAGCCTTCTTTCTAACGCTTGCAGTCGCAGATACCCACCTCTTCTTGAGCAACCTTTATCGTCCTTACAATCGTCACACGCATCTACTTCCAGAGCGGTCCCTCCCACTCCCTTCCCCGTCCCCTCCCCCCACCCCCCCCTCTCCCCAACCGGCCAACCTCACTGTGCAAAAGCAGTAACCAAGAACATCCGATCATCACACCTGATTGGAGAGGGGAGCCGTAACCACTGCCCAGGAGAAAGATAAGCATGCACAAGAAGAGAAAATCTGAACTGAATGAAGATCAACTGACGACTAATTGATTTATCAATGAAGGCAAAGAATACCCCACCGTTGGTACGGCGAGGACGACACGAAAACACTGCTCGACGGACGGCGTCTCGTGGATAAGCCGCTTGCTTCCGCATGCACATCCCTGCAAATGCGCCTCGCCGCCATGCTTATGACGAGAGAGGAAAACGCAAGGCACGATTTCTTGACTACGCGTTAGGACGTTAAGGACGTTAGGACCTGGTAGAGACGGAAAGACGAACTGAGATATCCGACGTCCACAAAAGAATACCTCCTAACTTCTAGCAGGGGAAGAAAGGACGCATGACGAGACAAAAGGGCTGAAGGGAAGACAACTACGCTTTCTTCAGTATCGCTGCCTACTCCATCAAGCTAATCATCACGACCAGTACTACGACAGCCGCCATAGCGATCTACAGATCCACAAATCCGCAAGATACCCCGTTACTTTCAGATCATTTCTATCCATACCCCTGTCGCCGGGCATCAAGTGTTAGAAAAACCTCCGGAGAATCGACGCAAATAAACAGTCTATTCTATTAATCACTTGACGGCTCTCTCTCTCTCTCCCTCTCTCTCTCTCTCTCTCTCTCCCCGGCTAGCTCGCTGACTGTTTCTGATAAAGGACCGTTAAACACATGCGTGCAGGAAGGGCGAGAAAACGGACGGGAAGAAAAGAAAACGGAGACAGAAAAATGAAGGGGAACGACACGGAAGAAAGGGATAGTCACCCACCTACCCACACACCCAGCATGCGCATGCTATGGAAAACACGTTTATTTTAGAATGGACTTTTAACGCAAAGAAAAATAAACAGTGGAGAGGGTTTCGTGAAAAAGATCAAAGAGGAGACGCTTCCGCAATCGTCAATAAAACGTGGTTCGAAGGGAGCAGACGGGAGAGTGTGAGAGAGAGAGAGAGAGAATAGTGGCATACCCTAAGCTGAGATATTTAACTCTCTTGTGATGGACATTAACAGAGGGCCGAGACTGAGGCGACCCAACCAGCACTCCGTGTGGCATTAATGCCCCCCTTGCCTCCGTTGCCGTCGACACCTCTCTTATGCCCGAGGACACCATCTCGCCGACGCCGTTACTTCCGCCGCCTGCGCCTCTCCCATGATGACTGAACGCTCTGCATCGATTCATCTTCCCGCCGTTCACCCCCACACCCGTTGTCCAATCTCCATCCCCTCCTCCTCCTCCTCCTCCTCCTGCTGCCGTGGACGATTCCCCCCCGACACCAGAAAACTTTCCCGGCCCGGCAAGGTCATGTCTCCGCCCTTCCTGCCGTTGTTCCGCAGGAGCCCCCACAGATGGATTCACTACCCCCCAAGCACGATAAGGAACCCTGGCTCTCCGCAAGGACCCTTGCTCAACACCCATACTCATGTCCGGAGGAGCTGACGACATCCGCAAGAAGTCCTCCCGCACGTCTTCTCTGCCATCCCCCGCCGATATGCGTCTCACATCGCCGCCTCTCTCCCTCCCCTCCCCTTCTGAAACGACAGCTGACTCGGGCTGATTAGTCATCACGCCAGCTGTACTGCCTGCCCCTGCTGCTGCTTCTGCTCCCACCATTGCTACCGCAGCCCGTCGACACATCGCTACACGTCCGTTCCCCAAACCCCTCTCGCCCAGCTCGTCCAGGCCACAGCGGGACCCTTCTCCTCCTCCACAAGAACCATCATGTATTTGACTTCGTTCCTCGGAATAGCCTTGCGGCTGCCATGTTTCGTATCCAGAGACGAGGACACTGCTGTTGCTAGTGTGGCTACCACATCTAGCGCCGACGAGCACGCTGCCCTTAGGATCCGGCAAAGGAGAGGTCGTATGATCGTCCACCACCAACCCCTCCCTATTCCCCACCTCGACCCATAAGGAGGAGGAACCAGATAACGAAGAGGAACAGGATGGACCTGCAAAAGATGGATTCGCATACTCGGATGCTTGCACCGCCGCTTCCCGCCCTGACGAGAACGTCGCCGACGCAAAAGGCGACATGCCACCAAGATGCGTGGAGAGCAAACTACGAGGGCGTACCACGGACACATCGCCGCCGCCTTCACGTACGAAGGGATAGATCGTTCCCGAAGGCCCACTTACAACGCCGATCCCGGCCAAGAACGCCGCCGACGCTTGCTCATCTGGAAGATCCAGATGTCTTGAGCGACGGCGACTCGACTCCTCGGCCCAACCCACTCGCTGGTTTCGCGGCCGTACCTCATCATCAACTCGACGGACGCCCCTCCCTTCCTCCTCCTCCTCCTGCTCTTCCCCATCCTGCCCCCTTTCCCTCTCTCTCACTGGGTTATGTGAAAGCGAAACCCCATTCTCCTCTCCCAGCAATGCCATTGTCGTAGAGAAGCCCTGCAGTGCTGAGTAAAACGTCGACAACGGAACCTTCCACCCGTTAACGACGACCAGGATCACTGCCCCTCTTCAATAAATACCTATCGCCCGCCACCACCTCGCACACACTTCCCTTTCACCGACACAACAACAAGGGAGAGCCGCAAGACCAGCCCGCTTTACACCGCGGCCTTTACGAGTTTACTGGATACGCACCTTCATGACTGCCGTGGTCGGCGAGCGTCCAAGTGTTCGTTCGTGTACAGCGATGGCAACGATGGTCGTGGTCCCCACTTGAACGACCGTCGCGTCGGAGTGCTGATATTGTCGATTTTTCACCTTTATTGTGCCTGTTGACAAGCTGGGCCTAGGCCGTGCATAGAAAGCTCTTCCATCGCGATCCCCCCTCACCAAACGGAGAAGGGAAAGGCATTTCAATTGCCGCGAGTACGCACAGATTATTAACGACAAAGGACCGCACAAATTGACAACGACTCGGCAGTAACGAAGGCTGTCAAGCAAGAGCGAACTACTGTAGGGAATCGAAGCAACGGCATGACATAATATTGATCAGGAAGGACGTGACTTGCTCAAGGTTGGGCATGGGTTGCCACCAACTCTATCTATTCCCGTTATCATCATCATCATCAACGTCATCATCGATATCATGGACGACAGTATTTTCCACACGTCTCGCCCAAGTACCGTAGACTGGGGAAAGTTGTTGCGGCTGCTCTCACTCTCTCTCTCTCTCTCTCTCTCTCTCTCTGCTTTGCACAAGAAATCAATCAATACAGGCGGCGGTTACAATATATCGCAACTCATCGACCACTGTACTGGTCAACGTCCAAACACTTCTCTTCGTCCTTCCCAGCGTTTCTTCGTCTGCCCAAAAAGAGCTGGCTCGATGTCTGCCGCCGATCGCTGTGCAGTGAACGGGCATTGCTGCGGAGTTGGTCGCTACTCGACAGGGATACGAAAGACGGGCGGGGCATCGATTTGAGGCGAGGACGGCAAGGGAGTAGCAGGGGGGTAACGGCGGGGGCAGGAAGAGAAAGGAAGGAAAGAAGCTTGCACCGTGGAGACGGCCAGAGAGACGGAGATGGCTGGAGAAGGCCGACGGCCAGGGAAAGCAGAAACCTGCGAAAAAGTGAGGAAGAAGACAGCGCTCCACGAGAGACAAATCACCATTAGTCCCTCGATCGGGGGCGGGAAGACAGATTATTTACAGTTCAGTTATTCCGCGAGTGCACGAGTGGCATGCAAACAAAAATTGACTGATGAGAGTGTGTGCTGTGCACACAAGTAGTTTCGTCGTAGGACACTCGTATCACAAGAAGGGGTGTGTATAGTATTCCTCACACGGGTGCCATTTCTCTCCCCTCCCCATTCACCAACCCCCCACCCGCCCCCCACCCCGCAACTATACCCCTCCCCCAACCACCGCGAGCTTCACGCTCCCTTCCCCCTTTCCCCTGCCCCGCGATGCTACGTACCGTGATGGGCGTGCGGGCGGCCCCGCGAGCGGTTGCGTCGGAGGCGGAAAAGGACAGTTGAGCGCTGAGCGCTTTGGATACCGGACTGACTTTTCGTTATGAACCGCCACTTGCTAGATCGGTAACGTGAAGATTGTGATCACCCACGACGGTGATTACCGCAGAGGACTGTGCGGCCGGGCGAGAGTACTCGTGTCTACAGGAGGGAGGAGTCGGCACACAAACATAAGCGCACAACACAGGTGCTCGCGTCTATGCACACACAAAGAGCTTACGCGGCGGACTTCAATTCGAATAACGTCCCTCCCTTCCTCCCTTGTTGCAGCTGCCCCTTCCCACATTCTCTCAGGCTATGGAGCTACCGGAAAATCTACTCGATGAACTCGGACCGAAGACAGTCACACTGGTATCGGATGCAGAATGAGGTCGGCCGCGCACCCCGCCCTCAACATACTGCACACCCCGCCTCCGCACCCCGCTCAAGCCAGCCGAGAGCTGACGGGATGCGGAGCCGGAAGGCAAGGGGGCACTAAAGGCGCGCGCCGAAAAGCCAGACACGCGGAGGCACGCGGGCTGCTCGAGCAGCGACGGGCAGCAAACGCATCCGATTTGGACGCAGTGATCAGGTTCGGTCGGCGGGGAGTTTCAAGCGGACTCGTGCGCGGCACGCGGCCGATAGACCAACCTGTCAGCTGGAACTTCGCTTCGTACAGAAAAATGATACAGTGAGATGGGACACAGCCGGGCCATGCATGATTCCGTCTGCAGGGACTAAGCGTTCCTGGCCGTTGATCTTCCCAATCGACGATTACAAACGTCAATCATGGCTATAGTGGTATCATGTGCGGGAGGTGCCCTCATGGCATCTAGCCTGCTCACTGATTTTCCTGTCTTTTCCGTTTGGCAAACCGTCCTCGACCCTCTGTTCGACCTGCGTTTCAGAATAGGCTTGTCTCGCCCGCACCGTCCGTGACCGACCCCGCCATGGTCATGGTGGCTCCCAACCGTTACTTTTGTTTTCTTTTTTTTTGGGGAAAGCATAGAGAAATTTTATTTCAAAATAGGGAAGAGGCCGGGGGGAACCTCACAATTCGACCCGGAAGTCTTGGGGCCATTACCCAGATTACGCTCAAAAGAATGCTGGAAATCGGGTCCAGTGTCCCCTTCCCTAACTCGTAAACTATTAAAATTCCACAATCCTCTAACCCACAGGCTCCCTGGCTGGATCCTCTATACTGTCTATGTCAGGTCTAAAATCGACCAGATGCCAACAACCTTACCCAGGTCTCAACCATCGAGAGACGACCAACTGTCCTTTTTAAAAAATTAAAATTCAAACAACACATTCAATTCCATTGCAAAAGCCATACGAGGTGAGGCCGGGGACCTCACAATTCCACCCGGAGTTATCCTGGCAGCGTCAGCCGGCTTAGCTTATTGTCTACCGCGTGGGCGCGGGAAACGCAGCCCTAAGGTAGCCAAAACAATGAGACTAAGAGCGCGCACGAGAGAGAGAGAGAGAGAGAGAGAGAGAGAGAGAGAGAGAGAGAGAGAGAGAGAGTTCTGTTTCATTTATTGTTACGAGTGTGAGAGAGAGACAGAGAGAGAGAGAGAGAGAAAGAAAGAGAGATAGAGAGGGGGGGGGGG